GCTTCATAAGGTGTTTGCAGTGTCTGACTTTGTAGAAATAGATCTCCAGGCCTTTCTTTGGAGGCAGTTCTGGCTGGACTAGAACTCTCAACCGTTCAGTTAGCAGTCAAGCTCATTAATCACTTGTACCACCCAGACTCCGTTCAGGTATGTAAGTGTGTCAATATTACTGCAAATGACCAATAACCACCTAAAGAACCCACGTGCAGAGGGGTAACAAAATTCTATTTCTCAAAAACACCTTGAGTAGGAATTATGTCCTTGAGAAGGTTAAAGTCAATGCTGTAAACAGTGTCTTCCACTTAGTATTCATCCATGAAAAGAACATCACAAATAAGCCCACAGCTTCTCAGATGTGATTTGAGCCCACGTTCTTCAGAAGGGTTATTGGACTGAGAAACAAGAAAATTTTCATGAACATTCTTTATTTGGTGCTCCCGATGACAAGAACAGAAATGCCAATTTTGACAAAGCAATTTAAACCTGTACCCTGGACCAATATGAATTCAAAGAATGTTTATCAACCAATCACAAGCTATGTTAAATCCAATAGCTAATTTCCAGATGCCAGTCATTAACCAGCCGGTTGCAAATGATTGGAGCTTTATTCTGACTTGAAATTAAGTGAGTAACAGTCTGAGGGTGGAAAGGTGTTCACCTCAGTACTAACCTGTTGCATTATTCACTTCCCTAAGCACTTTCCTACAAGAAGCTCTACTTCCTTCAGAATCCTCTCAGAGCACATCACTGCTCTCACCAACAGGTGCAATGCCATATGTAGACTCCCTACCCAATGCCTGTCTTGCCACAACTCCTTACCTGCCAAGCAGACAAAAATAATCAGCTAGTACATCATGTCCTTGTTTTGTATCACAGCCCACCTATAGTGTAGTGCCTAAGGAACTTGACTGCTAAACAGAAGGCTGGTGGTTCAAACCCACCAGCCACTCCTTGGAAGGAAGGTTGGGCAATCTACTTCTGTAGTGATACTGCCTTGGAAACCCAAGGAGGGGTCACTATGACTCCACAGCCCATAACAACAACACCACCTACCCCCAAGTATACTTGTAGTGAAGGAGCCCTGGTGACACAGTGGTTAAGCACTTAACTGCTAGCCAAAAGGTTCCCAATTAGAACCCACAAGCCACTTCACAGGAGAAAGATGTTACAGTCTTTTTTCATAAAGATTAGTCTTGGAAACCCTATAGGGCAGTTCCACTCTCTTTTAGAGTCACTGTGAGTTGGAATCAACTCTAGGGCAACGCGTTTTGGACACTTGTAGTACTTTAAAGAGTCCCCACCAGGTGGCAGGATTGTAACATGCTGAGATTGATGAGCCTCTCTCTACTAGGACCCTGATTTTTTATTATTGTTGTTTTAACACATCTCAGAACCTGCTGTTTCTAAAACAGAGTTGAAGCATCATGTCCATAACTATGACTCCTCTCAAGCTCACATTAGCTCGAAAGTAGAAGATCCATCTTGCCATGATCATGCTTTAAAAGTTCCTTATCTGAAGACCCCCTCCTCCTATCCCTCTTTCTTAGTTTACATGACTATAGGAAGGAGGGTTGAAAATGTCCTAATGACAAGATCTTTTTATTGTGGTGTGAGCCATGGGACACTTTCTGCTCTCCTTTAAAACATTACAGTAAGAAAATTATTATATTAATTATTAAAGACAGAAGTAAGAAAGAAGCCTGAGAGGCAGGGTGAGTAGCTCCACCCTCTGAGTGATCTGAGGGAGAGGGAGGAGACTAAAACAGCAGGGGAAATGCTGAGGAATGGCGCTTTCGCACGCGTCCTAACGCCAGGTGTGTTCCAGCTACACCCGGGAAAAGTGAAGCTGAGCAGGCATGATCAATGACTGTCTCCTTTTAAGCAAAGGAAAGGGGAGATCTAGATTTGCACCCCAAAAAATGTGGCAGATTAGAGGCCTGAGAATTTTATTGCCTGTGTAAATTCTAGTAGACACATACAGAAATCTTCCTACACAGGCACTACTCACTTTTTTTCAACTGTCAATTTTATAAAGATAGGAGGTGGAAGTTTATTAAAGGGATATCCATAAGCTCCATCTCATTGAAAATCAGTAACAATACAGATCTGTTTAAGATGTCCTGAAAGAAAAATGCACTCGTTATATGGGTTTTATACTTTGCTGGTTGCAGGTTGCAGTGATCAGTTTGTTAGCACTCTCTTCTATGCCATTGGCCAATCTGAGAACACCATTCATTGAACACTGTTTCCATCTGTTTCTCAAGAGCCACCCATTGCAAAAGTGAAGCAGGAACCCCACTGGGAAATGCTCTTCTTCCTAAATGTTAAGTGGTTGTTTCATGTGATACTTCTCAAAAGGACTCTAACAAAACCCCTGTCCTTCTCTGATCATCGGTGTTCCTAACATGGCTTCAGCCGAGCCCTTTTCATCTGAGCATCTGATAACTCGGGATGAAAAACTGCTGCTCTGCTCAGAACCAATCTAGCAGCAAGCAACACTAACATGGTGTCAAGGCCATGAAGCAACATATAAAGTCAACAGCCCTCCAGACGTAAAGCAACTAACAATAAAATATCTATTCTTTGCAGCTGACACCTTGATAATGTTAAAAAGATATATTAGAAAGGCTATTTTATATTAACATTTATTTACAGTAACTAGGAGTCCCTGGGTCATGCAAACAGTTAATGTACTTGACTACTAATCAAAAAGTTGCAACTTTGAGACCACTCAGAGGTGCCTCAGAAGAAAGGCCTGGTGATCTGCTTCCAAAAAATCAATCCTTGAAAGCCCTAAGGAGTACAGCTCTACTCTGACACACATGGGGTTGCCATGAGTCAGAGTCCACTCAAGAGCAACTGGTTTCATTGCCTCTGGTCACATGTGTCTCTACCTTGCAAGGTTACTATACTCTTATTAAATTTCTCACTGAGCTTGGAAAAAAAAAAATAAAAGCAACTGGTTTGTATTGGCTTCTAATAACTAGACAACTGCCCATACATAATGTCAACAGTAATATGAAACTATCTGCTGGTTGTTTTCTTATAAGCTACACATTATTGGTCCCTAGTTCCTCAACATTCATTGACCTTTTCAATCCCTCAGGTTTCAGAGCTGAGGGTTTAGAGATATTTCAGTCAATTTTGCCCCCAGTGGGCATGTGTCTGGTAAGATTCTCTGAGCGATTTCTGAGAGAAGACCACAAGCTACTTATGTGTGTCATGATGGTCCTCTCTACAGGAGATGTCTTCAGATAAGTGTTCCCAATTATATTAATAGGAACACTGACTGCTGAGACACTAAGCTCCCAAACCTTTTCCATTCAGGCTCCCTTTGCAGGCAATGTAATAGGAAAAGTGCTGCACATTGATTCCAAGGGAAGCTGGTCAGCTTTCTGAGTAAATAACATTTTCCTGTCCTACGCATTGGGTTTGTGCGTATCAGGGCGAATTTCGGCCACAGCCTGCTTTTTATAACTGACTGCATCCTTGGGACCAAGAAAGAAAATATTTCCGTGAAGACCAATTTCATAGCATTTCAAAACACTTAAAGCCTCTCACCTGCTGTGGCAGAGAGCTCAGTTTGACTAAGCTCAAGAGCATGAGACTTTCCTCATTGAGTAGAAATTTTCTGTGCACTGATGAGCTGTGCCTGAGGTACACTGTTTGGGAAGAATACTCTTCATCAAAGAGGTTGCCATGGGCTGTTCACGAACCTCTGCTAAGTCAGTGCTCACTGGCACAGTGGCCCATTGACAGCTATTAAGTGCAGCTCTCAAAACCAGGGGTGCTGATCAGAGTGTGCAGGTTACTTATTTTCTTATGTGCTGCATGTTCTACAAGATTTCCTAAACAACCTGTCTATAGAGCTTTCTTGTGAAAACAGAGAAGAGGAAAAAAGAACTGTGGCTTTGGTGATTACAGTAGCCTTGATTATCTATTGTGCTGAGGGTTACAGTACTCAGATACGGTTCACCTAGCCAAGACTGGCTATATAATTTGCAGGGCTCAATGCAAAATGAAAATACAGGGAACTTTGTTAAAAAATTATTAAGAATTTCAAGGTGGTGACAGCAGGGCATTAAACCAAGTGACTGCGCAAGTAGTATGCCCATGAAGCTATCCCTATACCTTACTCTCTCTCTTAAGGACTCTAAGATGCTAATCTTTGAACAGTGGCAGTTGAAATGGTGTATGATGGGTTATACTGAAAAATGTTCTTGGTTGCCTAGCAACTGGCTAAGGACTTGAAGTGGCTGACTTGCAGCTTTAGATACACCATCTTGAAAGTCTAAATTCATGGAAACTTCTAGTGGACCAATAATTTTCAATGAAAAGTAATGGGGGACGGGAATGCGGAGGGCAAGAAGAAAAATGTTTTTCTACTCTTATAATCTCTTGGGTGGCTAGCTTGTCATTTTTCCTATTACAATCTTCTAGGACTAAAATTCTTCCTAAGCAAAGTGAAAGTGAAAGGAAAGTCTACTTTTCATAGAAATATAAGTGATACGTTTCCTTAGAAGGTAATGAAGACATTAATTAATCAATCAATAGTTATTGAGCACATTCATTTGGTAATTTAACAATGTATGAAAACTGATTCACATGCAGTGGCCATTTAATAATAAGTAACTACTATGTAGTACATTCAATAAGGAACTCTGGTGGTGTAGTGGTTAAGGCAGCTGACTGATAACCACAAGTTCAGTGTTTCTAACCCACCAGCTGGTCCAGAGAACAAAGACAGGACAGCGTATATTTCTGTAAAAATTTACAGCCTTGGAAACCCAGTGGGGGTCACTCTGAGTTAGAATCAACTCAATGGCAGTGAGTTTGGTTTCTTTGTTTATGTAGTAGAATACAGAGATGAATAAATCCATTTTTATTCTCAAGGAACTCAGATAAGACTAATCAAGGACATCAAGCTAATATATAATTAAACACGAGCACTTCGTATTAAAAAAACGGAGTCCACAAGGTCCTTTCTCTCTTTGTTACAGGGTCCTTGTGCTGCAGAAACAGAACCAGCCCTTTTGCTGCAGAGTAAACAGTTTGGGCTTTCAAAAAACAGTCACATTGCAATTGCATTTGATGACACCAAAGTTAAGAACCGGTATGTATTATTCTGAGATGTTGAGCAAGAACTGACAAATGGAAGGATTTGCATGTAATCAAGTTTAATCAACTACATGTATTAATGAAGTGTATGTGTGTATGTGTGTGTGTGTTTAATTCAACAAGTGTAGCAGAGAATAGAATTATATTTCTCTGAGCCTGAGGAGCTTAGATTAGGCCATCAGCAGAGCGGAAGGTCTTCATCTCTGAGAAGCTTTGCTCTACCTTTGAAGATGCACCCATGATCTGACATCCTTCTGTCCTAGGTGAATGCTCTGTTTTATTTTGTGTGATTTTATTTCACAGCCTCACAATCGAGCTTGAAGTGCGAACTGAAGCAGAATCAGGACTGCTTTTTTACATGGCTCGGATCAATCATGCTGATTTTGCTACAGTTCAGCTGAGAAATGGATTTCCCTACTTCAGTTATGACTTGGGGAGTGGTGACACCAAAACCATGATCCCCACAAAAATCAACGATGGCCAGTGGCACAAGGTATTTATGGTCCCTGGGACATTGGTGGTGGCCTCAGATGTAGGTACAGAGCACTGGGTGACAGGCATCAGCATCCCCTGGTCCCAGTGCTGATTTGCCAGTGCACTCACTATGGGACTGCTGGAAAGTGGCAGAGACTAAAAATAGAGCTAGAGCCTTATACAATTGCCAAACCCTGGAAAATGTGATAAGACCGAAGAACATTTATAATTGACTATTTACAGGCCTTAGGAGCTCTGGTAGCATAGTGGCTAAGACACTTGCCTGCTAACCAGATGGCTGGCGGTTCAAACCCACCAGCCACTCCTCGGAAGGAAGGTTGGGCAATCCTACTTCCGTAGTGATACTGCCTCGGAAACCCAAGGAGGGGTCGCTATGAGTCGGGGCCGACTCGACGGCACATAACAACAACAACAACAACAATTTACAGGCCTTATCATGGTACTACAGGGTTCTACCATGCTGCATGTTTGAGGTTCTCAAACATCTGCCCATAGTCTGGGGCCAGGAAGTTGAGGACACTTTTGCTGCTCAAGTGAGAAATATAGGACAATGGAACATGTCCATCATAAGGGTCTCTTTCCTCCATTAAAGGAATAATACTTATTCTGAGATGGTACTGTCTAGTTTTTAGGTTCTAAGATGGCCTTTCCTTTATGAAATGACATTTGACAAATTTAAAAGTTGCCCACACTAGGATGGGCCCTAAGTGTTACCCACACTCAACCACTATTTGTCTATGAAAACAAGAGTCTAGCATCTCTGATATATTGTGTTTAAAGGCCTCTAAGGTACCATTTCTACCTACATTCATTTGGAATAACTTTAAAAACTTTGGCCTTACACCCAGAAACTGGTACTTTTATGGTCACAGAAGGCTCATTTGTCAGCTTATTGTCCTCTTTGGCATGACTGCAAATAGATAATGTACTGCCTGATTAAAATAAAATCTCCAAATTTGTCTCTGCACCTGTGATCGCCTATTAAGTAAAGCTTCCCAAAGTGGACCAATAAAACATTTTAATTTTCAGAGCAGGATATCATTATATGTTGAATTTGATATATTAACACACTTTGACTTTTATATCATATACAAAGTCAAAGAACCTAAAAACAAATCAAACAAAAATTCAAAGTCAACCAGTTTGCTATCATGGAAATGAGAAATGGAATCCTCCTATTTGCTCGGGACCTTATCACTGTCAGATATCAGTCCTCATGAAGAAGCTCTCATTACACATTTAATCTAATTTCTAGCTAGTGGAATAATAACTGTAACACTTGAGAAAAAGACATATTTCTGGGCCACGGTAATGCTGGGATTAAGAAAGCAAACTTAAATATCATGATTAGCCAAATTAAATAGGGATTTTATTTGTGAAGGTCTTTTAAAAATTTTGAAACAAGAACAGCTAAGGGTAAAATGATGTCTTAAGTTACTCTAATTCTGATCTAGACCCATTTTTAAGTGATCATTGTATGCTAGTGTTTCGCAGGCTTACACACTCCCTTTCCTAAATTCAGAGTCCTGGTAGTATGCCCAAGTCATTCTTCACACCCCTTATTTTATTCTGAGCAAGAAGATAATTGATGCCACTGCCCTCATTTCAGTCAACTTTCCCCTTGTTCCCGGCTTGGTACTAATCAGCTGCTAAGGAAGCGGCAGTGCAGCCTATTTACACCGCTCTTCCTTTAATTCTGTAGAAAGGGGCTTGTTAGGCACAGTAATGTAGAATACTTCAAATCGTGTTAGTTAGCCTAGGCTTTGCTCAATCAAACTAATGCACTTTTGAAACTGGGCATTGATTTTGCAGCCTACTTAATTCATGATAATGCCATCAGTCTTCAAGGTTCTTTTCATCATATGTACTCTTGATATAGATGCACACTCACCAATCTATTGAAGTATCTTCAATCTAAAACTTCCCAGGAAACTGGTGTACTCTTTTGGAGATAACAGCAATGGAGAGGACAGAATTTGAGACGGTCTGCAACATAGGCCTAATTTTACTTATAGGCTTGCACACGCTAGGTATTCAATAAAAGTTATTTTTCTTTTCCTTGGAATGTGATAAAAGTTCTTGTCTTACACACTGTGTTTGAAATTTTTCCAAGTTTGGTATTAATGGCTTCTCTTTTTTTTTTTTTTTTTTCCTTAGATTAAGATTATGCGAATTAAACAAGAAGGAATTCTGTATGTAGATGATGCCTCCAACAGAACCATCAGTCCCAAGAAAGCTGATATCCTGGATGTTGTGGGAATGCTCTATGTTGGAGGTCTACCCATCAACTACACTACCAGGAGAATTGGTCCTGTAAGTGTGTAATTTGTTTCTTTGTTGACTGAATGACTAGCCGCGTTAAGTATTCATGCATTTACTTTGAATTATTAGGTCTCACTTGCCCACAATCACTTATAGGTGAACAAGAACTATCTTGTCTGAGAAGTGACAGAAGATTTTATTTGATAGATTTGACTATGAAAGGCATTATCCCAGAGCAGAAAGAGTGTGGACTCTGGAGCCATCCTCCCTCTATTGGAATATCTGCTTCATTACTGACTAGTTGTGTGAGCTTGAGCTTACTTTTCTCTGACAAAGTGCCCTCATTTATAAAATAGGGTAATAACGCTGTGTAGTTGAATGCTATAAGGTTGACCCTCAACTCATGGCAAACCCATGTACAACAGAATCATATCATTGTTATATATTGAATTTTCATTGGCTGACTTTTCAGAAGTAGGTCTCCAGGCCTTTCTTCCATGTCTTAGTCTGAAAACTCCATTGAGACCTGTTTGGCATCATAGCAACATACAATCCTCCATTGACAAACAGGTGGCAGCTGCACTAGAGGTGCATTGGCCAGGAATTGAACCTGGATTTCCCACATGGAAGATGAGAATTCTACCACTGAACCACCACCAAACAAATAGAATTGCTATAAAGATTAAATGAGGTCATGCATTTAAAGGGCCTGAAAAAGTGCAAGTCATGTCAACAGCAGGGAAGATGATGATGATGGCATTGATGTTCATGTTTCGGGTCTAGAAACTTAGCAAGTATTGAGAGACAGAGTATTTAGAGTATAGTCATCCATTACTGGATTCAGAATTTAAAGTCCCTACAAATCTGTGTGGAGCTCTGGTAGCATAGTGCCTAAGGCACTTGACTGCTAACAGAAGGCTGCCAGTTCAAACCCACCAGCCACTGCTCAGAAGGAAAATTGGGCAATCTACTTCCGTAGTGATACCACCTCAGAAATCCAAGGAGGAGTTGCTATGAGTCGGGGCTGACTCAATGGCACATAACAACAACACAATTTTGTAAATCCATTTTCACAAAATAATTTTTTTGTCAGACCATATGTCCTGGTTGGCTTTGGAGACAGCATTATTCCAAGAATATCCAGGTTTAGTGTTTTCAGAACACACATTACATATAAATGTGATACATTCACCTACTGAAATTAGAGTACATGATAATATATGTAGATTTGTTAATTTATAGAAGACAATTACACTGTAGCTCTCAGTATTTGGCTTCTCTGTGGAGGATGGTATTACTTCTCTTTCATAACAATAGAATGCTACCAAGGTCTGCCACAAATGAGAGTCTTTGAAATGAGAGTGGCAAAAGTGCTCAACTTGAGTTCCCCAAGCCAAATGAAGTATAATGGAGCAGAGGGTAGTGGGTTTACTTTTAGAGTGCCTGAACCCCAGATGTTTCATGCAAACTTTATGTTTTGTACACTTTATGTGTAAGTGCATTTTCTCAGAAAAGGTCTGTGGCTTTCATTAGATTTCCAACAGGAAGAAGCACTGAACCAAACCTAATTTTCTTTTTCAAATAGAATTGAACATAGATTATGACAAAATATGTACATAGTAAAGTTAATAAGCTATTAATAGAAGCAGGGAATCAGGAACATAGAGACTAATAATAAGTTATGACATCCAAGTAGGGCTTATACCTCTATCAAGCCAGCAGTCCCACCAGAGATATAGGGACCACCTAAATTCATACTAATCACATTCCAGGTTAGATACATTCTGGTTGAGACATACAACACAGGAATTGATGGACCACACTATGAAGTCTGGGGTGATGACACAAACCCTCACAGTCTTTGGGGCTGCCATAGACAAATGCCTAAGGATTACATATATAGTGCTCCTTACCAAATGATTGTATTCGACATAAAGGTAAAAGTCTGCTAAAACATGATGATTTGTTTCTTCTAACTTGAACATTAAGGTGACCTATAGCATTGATGGATGCATCAGGAATCTTCAAATGGCAGAGGCCCCTGCTGACCTTGAAAAGCCAACCTCCAGCTTCCATGTTGGAACATGTTTTGCAAATGCTCAAAGGGGAACATATTTTGATGGAACAGGTTTTGCCATAGCAGGTGAGATTCTTCTATTTCCTTTCTTTTAAATATTAACAAGGAACTAATATTAACTTTTTGCTTTTACCGAAAAATAAAAGTCCTTTGGGGTTCTAAACTAATATCTTGTATGTAAAACAGAAATGAAATTTATAGAGTTAATAAAAATGTCTCTTAGAAATTAATGTATCTAATTCTGATAAGAACTAATAGACTAAAGTAAAAGGCTATTTGGAGAGATTATTCCACCCATTTCCTTTACTGGAAATCACCACTAAAACAAGTGTAATGCTATAAAATGGCTCATGTATTTATGCTATGCAATTTTATTTTCTACCTTTCTGAAGATGAGATACCATTTTTCTCTCTCCCATTCCAGTGTTTTGCAAGATTCCGTCTATGTCCCTCCCAAAAAATGCACACATTTGCAGCTATTCCTTGTTGATGGTAATGAATGCACCATTCCCAGGCCTTCTTTAAGTATTTTCCCCTTTCCAGTGATCATTTCTAGCATCACTGATACTGAATGTACAAAATGGAAAGAAAAATATGAAAAAACATAATACTAAGTACGAAAATGAATTTAACACTAACGTACTTGAAGATACAATATTTAATCATATAGTTAAATAGACACATTCATTTGTTCATTAAAAATAATAAACATATAATATTATACGTGTTTATATATAATATTATATTAAAACATATTATATATAAAGTTATTATAGAAAACAAGTAAATAAGATATATTTCCCTTCTACAAGAATATATTATTAAGAAGATTATATTTGCTGAGAAACCACCAGAATACACAAGTAAGCACGATTATGAACTACAAAAACATACAGCAAAGTTCTGTGAATATTTAGAAGTAAGATTAAATTTAGTTGGGAAAATCAAGAAGTTTCATGGAGGAAGTAGCATTCAATCTAGGATTTAGAAGGTAAATTTAACACTCCCATAGAGAAGATATAGGAAGTGGAAGAGCAGGGCCCTCTAGCAGAGAGTTTAGATAGGAAAGCTCCTCGTCTATGCAGCAGAAAACAGGAAAACACAGGGCAATTGCACTGAGCCCTGCACCTACACACTGGAAGCCCAAAGGCGCCTCCAGGATTTCTGCAAATTCACAGATGGCTAATATTCTCTTGACTAAATTTGATGACAAGCTTCAGCTTCTGTAGTCAGTGGATTGATTTACCATCCTATCTGTGCTCTTTAGTTTCTATATCCCTCTAGGCCAGAAAATTAGCCACTCTCTGTTTCCAGCAACTCTTGCTACCTTCTCAACATAGAGTGTAATGCAACCTACATAAAGACTTGGGTGGTTAGAGGAGTGGGCAACATCACTAGAAAATACACAGCTGCAAATTAAGTCTTAGACATCTTTATTCTTAAAAGCTTTCCAGTCACCTCATTCATTGTTTTATTATTTTATTCTTTTTACTGGCCTCTGCTCCCACCCGTTCCCACCATCTTCAGCTAAACTGCTTCATGTTATTCCTCTGTTCTTTTTCCTACATCTCCTTTCAGGAACAAATGCCAAGTCATTCTGTTTTATTTTCTAGGACAATTAAACGTTTTACCCTTTACTTTAAAAATCTAGGCCCATCTTTAAAAAAAAACCTTCCACATAATACGTTTCACCCTTTTTTGGGGGATGTTGTGGTTATCCATAACATTTATTACTTCTGTTACCTAATAATGATTATTATTATGATGAATAATAAGTAGAAGATATGGAGAAAATTTCCATGAGTTTCTTCTCTAATACTCCATGCAGTTGATGTGGATCCATGGATCTTAAGAAATCACTTTGTTTCTTTTTTTCAATAAAATTTTCTTTTTAGTGGTGAAATATACAACCAAACCTACATGTATTCACAAGTTCTACACGAACAGTTCAATAACCTTAGTTACATACTTCACGTTGAGTCAACATTCTGTCTCTACCCATATTGTTTCATCACCATTAAACCCTTTAAGTTATTATCTGTGCTTTAGATTAATTGCTGTCACTTAATGCTCATATAGATAATTCTTTACAAAGTGTTATGCTCCAGACAAACGTTCTTTATTAATTGGACTAAACTGCCATTTAGTTTAATGGTGGCTTCATGGTATAGTTTTAATATAACTTTGTCTCTAAGACTAAAACCAAAAACCAAACTCACTGCCATCAAGTCGGTTACAACCATTTCTTAAATATTTGCTAAAAACTAAATGAATGAATCAACTATGAAAAACTACAGAAAAGATTGAACTGAATGAAGAAGATAAATCTGTCAAAACCCAGAGTCTTCCCATCCAGATAGTACTTGCAGTTCCTCACTTTATAAATACACTTATTATTTACTTATTGACAATCTCATTATTTGACATTTCACATTTATGACAATAATAAAAGATCTACTGTCTGACCATTTTGCATATTAATGATGTACATCCAGAAGTAATGAACACCAAGGTACAAGGCAAGAGTAACATTGGCTGTAATGATCAAGGTCATGTGTCAACTTGGCTGGGGCATGATTCTCAAGTGGTTGAGCAACTAACTATGTGATTTGGTACTTATGTAATGATCTAATTTGGCAGTTATATAATGATGTAGTTATCCTATTTGTATAATATGGTCAACCTCCATTGTCACATAACACCAAATTTTCCATTAACGACCTGGTCTGTGGACAAGTGAGAAGTAGTTATAAAATGTTTAGGAACTTTTGAACACTTTCAAATAATTGTGGTACATTTTTTAATGTACTAGTAAAATCATACTAAACTATAACTGGAAGGCTTAACTTAATGCATTGTTAGAAGGGAGACTTCCAACACTGTCATATTTGACTGTATAATTCTTTGAGTTAATCTCAGTGTGTGTTCATTCATTCATTTGTTCAACAAATATGTACTAAACCACCACAATGTGCAGTACAGTGGTTAATGCACTCAGCTGCTAACCATAATTTCAACAGTTCAAACCCACTAGCTGCTCCACAAGATAAAGATGTGACAGTCTGCTTCCATAAAGATTACAACCTTGGAAACCCTGTGGCGGTTCAACTCTATCCTATAAGGATGTTATGAATTGATGACAATGAGTTTGTTTTTGTTTTTGTTTCTTCTTATGTGCTAGAGAGAGATCTCTGGGTGGCTCAAAAGGTTTGCTCTCAACGACTAACGTATAGGTTGGAAGTTTGAACCCAGCCACTGGTGCCACAGAATAAAGGCATGGCAATCTACTTTAATAAAGACCACAGCCAAGAATAACCTATGGAGTAATTTTACTCTGTAAAACATAGGGTCACTGTAAGTCATTAAAATCAACTTGACAGCAACAGGTTTCATTTTGTTGCATTATTTTATGGGCCACATAGTTTGCTTAGACACTAGGAATAAATTAATGAGCAATACAGACAATGTCCTTGCCCTCACAGAACCTACATTTTAACAGAGAAAATAGCAAAAATAAATAAATAAATAAGACATAACCAATAAAGTGTGTTAAATGACATGATGCTGGAAGTAAAGGTCACGTGGGAATCTGTAACTGATGGTCTTCATTATAATTGACTAATGTATGAATCAAATCTAGTAAAACCATTGCATTGTACATATTTTAAAGAAGCATCCCCTAAACTGCAATTAAAAAAAAAATCTTCATTTTACAGTTGGTGGATTCAAGGTGGGATTGGACCTTCTTGTAGAATTTGAATTCCGCACAACTAGGACCACTGGAGTTCTTCTGGGAATTAGCAGCCAAAAAATGGATGGAATGGGTATCGAAATGATTGATGAAAAGGTGAATGTCAGCAATGCAAACATCCTGCATCTTCTCATCATCTCTCATTCACATGTAGAGGACTCATAGTTTGAACTCTTCAGATAGAAGCCCCTCAACACTCTTTGTTTGGAGAAACTTTTGTTTGGATAAAAAGATCTTTGCATCATTTTACGCTTCTCGATTATCTCAGTTCACATGTGTTTACAGCACAATTATTCCATGGACCAGTGTAAACTCTTAAAGTGCACATTGAGAAGCAGGCCAGCATGTTGACTAATATGAGACCAGATGGTTGCAATCTCAAACTCTAATGGTGCTGCTATCAGAACACTATTTTCCTCCTTATTAAAACACAGTGTATAAAACTATTGATTCCCATGGAGGGCACTTGCATTGTCTAAAATAAGACTTTGCCTCTGAGAATAGGATAGAGAGCTCTCAGAAGCAAAGGACTTCAGCTGCCATGATAACAGTGTTCTCAATTTTTATTTAAATGCATCCAGATACCATTACAAAAACAGAGCAAATTTATAACAAAGGTATGTTGTCAATTGACTTACAAAAATAGGATAATCTAACTCAACAAGTCATTTTAGCCCCTGCTGCCAGGAGCTCTGGTAGCATAGTGGCTAAAGCACTTGACTGCTAACCAGAAGGCTGGTGGTTCAAACCCACCAGCCACTCCTCGGAAGGAAGGTTGGGCAATCTTACTTCCGTAGTGATACTGCCTCGGAAACCCAAGGAGGGGTCGCTATGAGTCGGGCCGACTTGAAGGCACATAACAACAACAACAAAAAGCCTATCATCAGCACCCTGCAGGGAAAGGATCTGTTTGTACATACTTTGGTACTACAGGGAGCAGATAAGAAGAGGAGGCAAAGCAAGAAATGTCTTAAGTTTCCTATTTGGCTACTTAATAGGAATCATACTTTACCTCCACTCATAGTCTACTATTGCAGTGTTATTGCCTTCTTCCAAGAAGGAAAAAAAGTAGATCACCCCATCTTCCTTCCATGGAGCGACTGGTAGGTTTGAACCACTGACCTTCTGGTTAGCAGCCAAATGCCTTATTCACTACACCACCAGAGCTCCATAAAATACTATTTTCTTTGCCTTCTACCAGCCTGGCTTCAGGCTACAAATCATCTTCAAAGGCAATATAGCAAAAAAGATCAGGAACTAAGAGACAAAAAAAGGTGAACAAATAAGCAACACTTAATAGTTTTGCAGAATTTTCAAAACATGCTTTCACTTTATCACCTGTTCATAACTGCAGTTACTGTCAATGTGGCAATGTGTCAGGTTCCGTTACAGGGATTTCTTGCCAGGTCCTACAAAATCCTGTTGTTACAAACCACGTGCAGCATAGTAAAACTATCAATATCTACAAACTATATGGTTTACAAACTTTTCACTTATTGACTTACACTTGGAATCTTTTTTAAAAAAAGGTATTTCTTTCCTTTTACTTTGTTATATGTGTTGCCTAATTGCAATATATATTTTTATTGTTTCAATATGTTCCTTGTCTTCTTCAGCTTCAAAGGAATTCTGTCATCTCATTTTCAGGGACCTTTCCATATTACCAAAAACAGATTTTTTTTTTTTTTCCTTTTAGACAAGAGCTTTCAACCTAACTTGTTCATTGTTAGGAAATTAACTGGCCTTCTGGCTCAAGGACTTTGGCAACTGAGACATGAAGCTTGCCCTAAAAAGTAATTTATATAACTTTCCATTAAGTGTGCAGATGGAATCCATGTAGGATATAAAACTATAATTACAACATCAAAAGTTCAATATTTTAAAACAATGACAATATTCATTTAAATTGTATTTGTAAATCAAATCAGTAGATCAATTTAAACAATATCTTTAATGAAAATTTTATAAGATACACCAAGAACTCTAACACTCTAAAAGGAACTGTGGTAGAACTCTTCCCTGTGCAAACTAGGTCTTTTTCTTGTCATTTGACCTCAAATTGTATTTCACACTTTCTGAAAGCAGAATAATTATCTACTTCATGCATCTTGCCTCTCTCCCCCAATAATGCTCAATATAAAAACATTATTTCCCCAATGATGCTTGAATATAAAAACATAATTTACAACTACAATTATAATTGTAATAATTGTATGAAATTATTGTATATAATTGCAATTACTTTTGTACTTTGATTTCTGTCACATCTTAATTTTTTATAGTACGACCCAGTAATATTCACATCAAACTCATCCAGTCTGTCCCACAGACCTGATAATTGTTCTCTGTGAATCATCATGATATCCCTCTAAGGAAATCATCTGTGACTGTTCAATTCCCTACTTTCTAGCTCATGTTTCATGTGGACAATGGAGCTGGCCGATTCACTGCGGTCTATGATGCTGGGATCCCAGGGCGTTTGTGTGATGGACAGTGGCACAAGGTCACTGCCAACAAGATCCAACACCGCATTGAGCTGGCCGTCGATGGGAACCAGGTAGAAGCCCAAAGCCCAAACCTAGCGTCTACATCAGCTGATACAAATGACCCTGTGTTTGTTGGAGGTTTCCCAGGTGAGTGTTAGCTACTCCAGCAAGAATGCCTTTGCTGTTATTTTAGTAGTTTTGAAAATATTTATATTCATATAAATATATCCAAGAATGTGAATTGAAGTATACTTGGGGCCTAGCTTTGGAATCTACTTCCATCAATAACACCTTACCTAAAATATCCAGTGTGTAAAATGAGTATATTACTTATACAAACCACATGGGATGGAATTTTTCACAACAGCCCCAAAAATTTCATTTGTTGGGAGATTGCGGCTAGAGGAAATGAATTTGACTTGTAAAAGATATTAGACATTTAACAGAAATTGGGACCAGAGTTGCTGTTCTTTCTGATTATTTTAAATTAATATACCAGAGGAATCATAAAATTTATGGAACTTATTTCCTCAAGTTCTGGAAATCATTGGGTTAAATGTAACTAATTTCTCCCTTAGGTTATTATAGAGTTTATATTACAAAGAAACCCAAGTAATAAATCTGCATTCAAAAATCCCTCTCTAGCACATTAAGTATAGCATGTGAACCACAGAGTGTTACTAAAGTGCCCATAAATAAGAATGACCAGCTTGATGAGAAATAAGCCAAGTGCCACTTAATAAGTACTTTAAGAATACAGACTATTGCAATGCTCTTTCAACATTATGGCAAGAGGAACTTTTGTCCCCAAAGCTCTTTTTCTTAAGAGAATGAACTGTACAGTGGTTGACAGAGGAAAAGATGTTAGAGAAATTGGGACCGATTCAGAGCTCCTCTTTCCAAAGTTACTTCTGACTTTTAAAAAGACCTACGTCTGCTTCAATCAGGAATAACCTCAATAGAATATGAAGGATAAAATACACTTCCCAATTCACAGTCTACCTCACTTATAAAATGACATCTGAGTTACCTGAAAGAAGGTTGTTGTTGTTGTTGTTATGTGCCGTCGAGTCGGCCCTGACTCATAGCGACCCCTCCTTGGGTTTCCGAGGCAGTATCATTACGGAAGTAGGATTGCCCAACCTTCCTTCCGAGGAGTGGCTAGTGGGTTTGAACCGCCAGCCTTCTGGTTAGCAGTCAAGTGCTTTAGCCACTGTGCTACCTTAATAAGAGGGAGAAGCTTTTGTGTGAGTTTTCAACCAACTTAACATTTTAGGATATACCTGTACAGTATAAGAAAGCAATAAAGTCACCTTTAAAAACCCATATCCTATTGGTGTAGTGGTTAAGGCATTTGGCTGCTAACCAAATGGTTTGTGGTTTGAACCCATCAGCCACTCCATGGAAGAAAGATGGGGTAGTCTGCTTCTGTAAAGATTTACAGCTTTGGAAACCCAATGGGGGTCACTATGAGTCAGAATCAATTCAATGGCAGCGAGAGTTCAGAATTTAGAGTATTTGTTCAATTGCTTTGTTTCATTAAATAAAAATTAATAGTTTTAATCACAAATGTAAACAAGCTCATTCCAAACCAATTATTTCTTTGATGCCTTAACAATGTATGCTTTTAGGTATTTTTATATTTCATAATGCATACATATAAAAAGTTTATATCTGTCTGTAAGCCTGTTAGTAAAGCTAAAACAAAATCACTAACTTTACATAAGACAGCCTTCCAGCTTAATATCTAACTAACAGCTGACTCTCATACATGTTCTTAACATGTTGTTAGTTGCCATTGAGTTATCTTGGACTCACGGCGACGCTATGTATATATAACACAATGAAATGTTGCCCAGTCTCACTCCATCTTCATGACCTCTGATATCCTCAAACCCATTATTGTGGCCACTGCGTATTATGAGTGCCTGCTAACCTAGGGAGTTCATTTTCCAGCACTGCATCAGACAGCAGTCTGTCATAATTCCTAGGGATGTCATTGGCTAATTTTCGGAAACAGATCACCAGGTCTTTCTTCCTGGTCTTAGACTGGAAGTTCTGCTGAAAACTGTCTACCATGAGTGACCCTGTTGGCATTTGATATGCCAGTGGCATAACTTCCAACACCATATAAGTCACCGATGTCAGACAAACTGACAAAACTTCACATAAGAGTATAGATCAGATTCAGGGCCGAGAGCCTTCTAATATAATCTGAAACTAAGAGTTGACTTTGAGACATATTCTTAATATAACAGAAATTGTTTAAAACTAAGCCTTGTATCATTTTTTTTTTTTCAGATGGCATCAATCAGTTTGGCCTGACAACCAATATTCGGTTCCGGGGTTGCATCCGATCCCTGAGGCTCACCAAAGGATCTGGCAAGCCACTGGAGGTTAATTTTGCCAAGGCCTTGGAGCTGAGGGGTGTTCAACCTGTTTCATGCCCAGCCAATTAATAATAATGTTTAACCCCAAGAAAAGTGCCTCAAAACAAGTATATCAAGTAAAACAAGTATATCTTACCTACATATGTTAATAAAACTAATTGGTGCATTAAATTCTTTCTGTGTTGAGTTAATTTCTTCCTGTATTCAGTTGGTGCTAATTCGGACTCAAGACTGAATTTAATTCAGTTTCTTTCTCAAGTCCATGAATAATAAACTAGTTGTGCCATTCTAAATAATAGCTAGTTTTATTTCACTATGTCTAAGTACAAAAAGCAACTGACCATAAATTTCTGAATTTGCAGCATGCCCTGCAGTCATTACAAGAAGAGCTCAGATGCTATTTGTGAAAGGCACCTTTTTCTTTTTTTTTTCCCACAAGTACTCCTATTTATACTTTTCCTCATCTTTTTCCATGCATGTTGGCTTTGGCATCCCGTACAGGCCACTGAAAACAACAGTGGATTTAGTGTGTGTGGTTAGGAGAAAATCAGTTCTCAAACTCCAAGTGTTTGTGGACGCATTAGCAAATCATTTCCCTGATCCAGGTTCATTATTAGAGAGTTTAACTAGCCACTTGAGTGAATACCTTTTTATGCTGAAGGCAATGAGTATAGATCAGATTCAGGGCGGAGAGCTTAATTACTCGATTTTCTTGTTTGATAATGATTTATAGGCTTTGGGGACATAGCAGAACCAAGCTGCAGAATAACAATTAAGCACATATTTGATACTACAGTTTCGAATGTACACTTAAGTAGAAAGGAGTAATGCTGAAATGCACTTTGACTTAGCAGGGAATGAAAACCCAGAAACTTAAACATAATTTTTGAGTTATAATTTGACCTAACAAATTCATTTCCTAAAAAAAAATTCTCTGAACTCTGGTGTCATAGTGCCCAAGGCATTTGACTTCTAACCAGAAGGCTGGCAGTTCAAACCCACCAGCCATTCCTTGGAAGAAAGACTGGGCAATCTACTTCCATAGAGATACCACCTCGGAAACCCAAGGAGGGGTCGCTATGAGTCGGAAACAATTCTATGGTAGTGAGGGTTTGTATTCTTCTCTGCCCTGTCACCACCACCACCACCACCACCACATTTCAATCATCAGGAGTTCTGGTGGCTCTGTGGTTAAAGCATTGGGCTGTTAACCGAAAGGTTAGCAGTAGGAACCCACCAGCTGCTCTGAGGTAGAAAGATGAGGCAGTCTGTTACTCTTAAGGATTCAAAGCCTTGTAAACCCTGTGGAGCTGTTCTTCTTAGTCCTATATGGTCATTATGAGCTGTGATCAACTCAGTGGCAGAGGATTTAGTTTGGTTCTGGTAGTTTGCTAAGGATCTGTGAGAAAAGAGACCTAGATTTTATTTATCAACTTAAGAAAGGTTTCATTTGCCATTTTCAGTAGAAATGGTTGTAGTCTAATAATGTAGGAGATTAAAAAATAATAAAATTATTTTAAAAAAAGAAAGAGACTTCTCTCACAACGGAATTTTTAGCAAAAAAAAAAAAGACAACGTTATTCTCCAGAAGGAAGGTGCTGTTTTCTAATCAAGATGATGGCTAGCAAACTCTTAGCATCTCATCTTTGGCCAGTTGCTCCATATAACTTGGAAACACAACTTCATTCTAGAACAGCAATTCTCAATTTCAGCTCCACTCTGGAATTGCCTAGAAAAGATTTTTTTTAATTTAAAAAAAAAAAAAATGGTACCTGGGCCAGTGACTCTGATTGGGTCTCAGATATAATCTGGCCATCAGGATTTTTAAAATGTTTCTCAGGACATTCTAAATTTCAGCTGGAGATGAGAGGCACTGTTCTAAAGAAGAAACTTGTCTACTATGCCAGAAGAGACATATATAGTCATTTGAGAATCACACTATTAGTTTGTCTTTGCCATGTCAATACAGATTAATATAATATAATACTGACCCTAGTTAATGCCTTTGACCAACCTTTAAGCAATGAAATTATTTGAAAACTAATGTTTTGAAAATGAAAAATTTCTTCTACACTGAACACTGTGATGTTTTTGGGGGCTTATGCTGGATACCGAGTGGTATGAAATTAAAAAGCTTCCTTCCTAGACCCCATGGAAATTTGAAAGCAAAGATACTTAATTAGCATCCCTGCCAGAGTCGAAGGAGTTGTGGTAGCATGATGGTTAAACAGCTTGGCTGCAAACTACAAGGTCAGTGGTTCAAATCCACCACCCACTCCATGGGATAAAGATATGACGATCTTCATCCACAAAGATTGCATCCTTGGAAATCCTATGAGGCAGTTCTAGTCTATCTTATATTGTCACTATGACTTAGAATCTATTTGATGGCAACAGTGTTTTTTGTTTTTGTTTTTTTCTTAAGATCAAAGTCAAGTCCAGCTGAAGTCAGTTTATAGATGAAAGCTATAGAATGGTTGAGTTGGAAGGGGCCTTTGAGATTATTGGATACATAATTTTCAATTGTAGCTGAAAACATTAGAATTGCTTTGGGAGCTTTAAAGAAATACCTATGTCTGGGTACATCCCCTGACCAATTGAAGTACAATCTCTGGGTACTGCCCCAGCACTGGCATTTCCTAAGAGATTCTCAGTTGATTCTAACATGTAATTAGCACTGAGCAGCCCTGAGATTCTACAGTTTCCACATTTTACAGTAACCATGGTGAATGCCGCTGACAAAGGAATTGGAGGAGAACCCAAGGAGATTTGGTGACTTGGTCAAAGTCCCATATTAGCCAAGTTTTCCAATGTAATCCCAAGAAAGTATTCTCTTTGACCCAAACAAAATTTACTGAATCCTAGTGGTGCCTAGGACTCCATGGCACCTAACAACAACAGGTGTAGCTAAATTGGTGTCATACAACACACAAATTCCAGAATGGCCTGTGAATTTATGCAGACAAACATTGTCCAAACTTCAAGATGGAAAGAATGAAATGTTATGAAAGGCAAAAATCTCTCTAGCATATTTTAAATTCATTTTCTATCTCAAAAACCAAATTAATTTTTACCCCAAAACAAGATATGATGCATTGTTCCAGCCAACCTTATCCCATCAATAATCGTGTCACAAGCTGCCACACATAACAATTTATGAATAAAGGAGAATGTTTTTCATTTATTTTCCAAAGACTCACTCCTACCAGGTTGTCAGCTTTCTTCTTTAAGAAGGTGCTTTGCACTGTAAAGGGAAAAAAAAAAAACTTGCAAGGGGGCTTTTACAGAAGTAACCATGGTGAACACTGCTGACAAAGGAAAATAAAGAACAGAGCATATTTCAGCCCCAAATCACCAGACACTGGGAGCTTCAGTTAGTGTTTTAAAAATTATAACTGTTTTCCCCTACATTAATTTAACCTATTGTCTACAAGTACAGAACTCTTCTTGATCTTCTGCTTAACAGCAGAGGAAAAGACTACTTTGACTATTTGCAAATATCTTGGTATTATGTGGGCTACTGAAATATCTTGAGCGTAAAACTGAAATCTATGATTGGCATTGGCAAAAACAAAAAGTCAAGTCTCGCCAAATACTAAAAAAAAAGAAACCTCACTGCCATGGAGTCGGATCCAGCTCATAGTGACCCCTTCTTGGGTTTCTGAGGTGATATCTCTATGGAAGTAGATTGCCCAATCTTCCTTCTGAGGAGTGGCTGGTGGATTTGAACTGTCAGACTTCTGGTTAGCAATCTAATGCCTATAGTCTTTTTTATTACCACTTGAAAAGAATGCAATGACTTATTGCTGATGCAATTTTTTAATCTGTTTTTCAATCTCTTTTGATTTCTGTTTAATCAAGAGACACATACACATTTTTGTACTTTACTGATTTGTTTGACCTACAATGAAAGAGGAGCTCTGGTGGCATAGCGCCTAAGGCATTTGACTGCTAACCAGAAGGCTGGTGGTTCAAACACACCAGCCACTCCTTGGATGGAAGACTGGGCAATCTACTTCTGGCACCTAAAATGGAAGGATGCCCTAAGCTGGGCCCTGAATGCCAACTTTATTTTAAACTCTTGACATACAGAGTGGTAGATCTAACTCACATTTTGGCATTTGTGCTGGTTACCTACGTGAGCATTGTGTTTGTGTTCATTGCTTAAGTGAATCTTTTTGCCCTAAAAAAAACTTTTAAAATAAATAAAAAATATTCAAAGCACTAGCACTTTTCGGGTTCCCTGAAAGATGACATGTAGATCGACAAAATCAATTATTTTGAACAATAACTATTATTATCTATGTAATGACTAGAAAATGTTGAAAACAAAAAAAAAATATAGGAATATTCATATATAAATAGAATAAGTTGTTTTATTTGAGCTTTGGGAATATTAGAAATAAATACAAAGCAACTGAAAATCAGAAAAATAATATTTTACTCAATAACACCCTTTCTTGAGCATTTCAGTAGAATGGATAATCTTCAAAGCTGATTTAGAGAACTACTAGTGAGGGAATTAGTGGCTCAGGGTGCATCCTCACATTTCATGTTAAAGACCTGGGTTGAATTCCTAGCCAATGTCTTGTTTCGCTCTGTGAGGGCCAGCTTGACAGCCACCAATAACAGCAAAGCAGTGGAGGTGGTAGAAATAATCAGATTCTGGGTATAATTTTGGAAAACCCAAAACCCACTGCCATCAATTCAATTCTGATTTATAGCAACCCATCGGGTTTCCAAGGCTATAAATCTTCACAAAAGTAGATTGCCTCATCTTCCTCCTACGGAGCAGCTGGTGGATTTGAACCTCCCACCTTCTGGCAGCCAAATGCCTTACCCACTACGCCATCAGAACTCCTTATAATTTTTAAGGTGGATGAGTATTTCCTTAAAAATTGCATATGAAGTGTGAGAAAATAAGGAACCGATAACTTCTGATCATCAAAAAGGATAGAGTAGCCATTATTGGGTTGGGAAGGGGATTTGTGGAATAGGCTCTCTGCAGAAAGGAAAACTGCCCATTAGGTATCTAAGTGTATTACAACATAGGCAGTTGGATATAGGAATCTGGAACTCAGGAATGAAGTCTGCAGTATTGATATAAATATGGGAATCATCGAAATATTGATGTTATTTATAGGCATATTACTGTAGGATATCATCA